CCCTTCGCCCTGCCCCCCACGCTCCCCTGCCTGGCTCCCCCTGGCTCCCCTGCCTGGCTCTCCCTGGCTTTCCAGAGCTGGCTTCTCTGAAGTGCTGGGGGCCCCATGTCCGCAGCCCAGCAGGTCACCTGCTCAGCTGGGGCCCGTGCCCTCAGCAGCAGAGGGCACACGCCTCTGCTGCCTGGGCTAAACAGCCCTAGATCTGCCCGTGACTCATACGCAGGCCTGGGACGCACGCTGGGCTGCACAGGTGAAGGCCTCATTGCCATGGTAATTGGTAACAATGAACCAGCAATCTCTCCGGGTGTGCACTGCAATACAGGGTGTGGGGCAGGACTCCTGGGTTCTGGAAGAGCAGGAGAGATTTAGTGGTTAGAGGGAGGAGTGGGGCAGCAGGAGGCCTGGGTTCTGCTATGGATTTTCTGAGTCACTGTGCCTCACTTTCCCCCTCTGTGAAATGGGAGTGAGCGCCCCTTGCAGGTGGTCTCTGCAGTCTCCAGAGGGGCTCTGATTAGAGCTGGCTGAACATTTCCCCCTTTGGTGTGAGAATCCACAGCAGCCACTGGGTGTAACCTGCCCCCACGCTGGGCTCCCGTAACCAGAGGTCAGCTCCAGCCCCAAAGCAGTAGTCTCACCACCCTTCCCTGGACGTTGTGCTCATTCACGCTGATCGTGCTGCATGTTCCCCTCTGAGGAACCTGCCCGTCACCTGTGGACTCCTGCCCAGCTCTTGGCCTCGGCTATGTCCTGTGGCAGCGGGTTCCACAGACTCATTGCGCCTAGTGGGAAAAGCTTGGGAACCCCCCACCTCACAGTCATTGAGCCCCCCCTGGTTATGACGTGGCAACACGTTGGGCTGATGCAGCCAGCTCTGGGCAGCGACCCTCAGAGCCTTCACCACAGCTGCCTCCCATCTAGGAGCCAGGCTCGCACGGGGGCTGGTTTGAGTTCAGGCTAGTGGCTGGACCATGTGTAAGGGTAGTGCAGGCAGTGGGGAGGTCCAGATACCCCGGGCCGATCCCGCCTCCCCAGGGATATTGTACCCGCATTGCTCACTTTGCACCCAACCCCAAAGGAGGCCATGTGGTGAGATATGCAGGGGTCGGGGAAGCCATTTCTGGGGGGCCGGCGGAGCAGGTGGGGAGGAGGCCAGGTCGTTTCTAAGAGGGGTGTTTGTGTTTCCAGCTTTCAGGGCTGGTTGGCGGGTGCCGCGGTGTCGAGCGACTGCCCTGCGCACGGATCTAACCCCAGGCTGGGAGGGAGAACAGGCCGGCACCACCCACCACACGCCTGCCACAAGGTATGGGGGGACTGTGCAGGCTCGGGTCCCTGCTGCTCCCTGCTGGGCGGGATGAGTCCTGGGGTGTGCGTGTCTGTCTGTCTGTCTGTCTGTCCCTGCTGTCCCCTGCTGGACGAGATGAGTGCTGCTGCTCTGTGTGTGTGTGTGTGTGTGTGTGTGTGTGCACAAAGTGACGCTGCTGCCTGCCCTCTGCTGGCATGGGTTGGCTGTGTAAATTCCTGCTGCCCCCTGCTGGACGAGATGAGTGGTGCTGCTGCTGCTGCTGTGTGTGTGTTTGTGTGTGTGTGTGTGTGCACGCAGAAAGTGACGCTGCTGCCTGCCCTCTGCTGGCATGGGTTGTCTGTGTAAATTCCCGCTGCCCCCTGCTGGACGAGATGAGTCGTATACTGTGTGTGTGTGCGCGCGAGCGCGTGCGCACACTGCCCCCTGCTGAAGGCAATGAGATTTACTCAGTATGCATTTGTCCCACCTGTAGAATGAGTCCTGCTGTGTGTGTGTGTGTGTGTGTGTCCCTCCTGGCTGCCCCAGTGGGAGGGAACGAGCCCTGCGCTTTGTGTGTTTGTGTAAGTCACCCTCAGCGGCCCCTGTGGACACTGCTGTCTCTGTTTGTGCTGGGACAGGGCATATCACACATTATCACTGCCACAGGCATTTGGGGTACTCTAGCAAGTACCCCCCCAACCACTAGACCGGACTCCCCTCCAAAGAGCCAGAGCTAGAACCCAGGAGTCCTGGCTCTAAGACATCCCGTGTCTCACCCACTAGATCCAATTCACAAACAGGCAGGAGGGGAACCGATTGGATATGGTAGGCTCAGGGTCAGGGGCAGCTCTTCCCCTGTAATAGGCACACAGGGGTGGGGGGCAGCAGTGGGGGCAGCTATTCCTATGCAATGGTGTCACAGACTCACAGGTTGTGCCCACTCTTGGCCCCATGCGGTCCCTGGGGGAAGCCCCTTCAGTGTGACAGCCCTTCTTGGGGGTCCACTCTTGGGGGTTAAGATCCTCCGCATCCTGGAACCGCACCTCTCTGAGCCTTAGCACGCCTGTTTCTCTCTGTGGGCCCCCTCAGGGGGTCCACTCGCTCTGGACACCTGGGGCCTCCACTCCCAGAGGAAATAATGCAACCCTGTTCTCTAGACCGAGTGACTGTCAGCCAGCGTAAAACAGGAGGGTTTATTGAGCATCTGAACACAGCATAGGAAACTCTCAAGGCCCTCAGGCCTGGCCTCCCTCAGCACAGCACATCCAAATCTTCCCTCCATCCAGGTGGGCTCTGCCTGCTCTCTCTCTCCAGTCCCGAGCCCCCTTTGCTTTCCAGCTGGGCATCTGATATCACCTTCCCCAAGCCCTGCCTCTGTCCATTGTCTTCTATCCAGGTAAACAGGGTTGCCTGGGCCTCCTCTCCGCCGTCCTCTGTCCCCCTCTGGCTGGAACCCACTGGTCAGGTCACTGGGGTTCACAGCCCATTGTCCTTCCACTGGCCGGAGCCATCTGTGACTCCTGAGCAGGGCCTCCCGGTCATCAGGTCACCAGTCGCTGGGGTATCCATTCTCCAGGCCATTGGCTGGGGTCCCAAGTTCTGTCGCAGGTCCTCTGTAACAACAAACTCCCTCTCCCATCACCTTGTTAAACCAGTAACACCCAGGGAAACTGAGTCCCACCCTTTCTGCATAAAAACCATTGACAAAACAAGGAAACCCCCCACAGTTCGTCACAAATGGCCACGTGGGGGCACTGGGGACTAGGAATATTTAGGTATTCACAGGATGTTCTGGGGCTTATTCTCTAACTCTGCCATTATGCCCAGAATCTTTAGCCTTTCCCTCTGTGGTGCTTACTGCATCATTCAGACCTTTTTAAAGCCCTGGGAGTAGTGGTTGGGGCAGGGGGGCTGGGAGCCAAGACTGTTAGTCCTATCTAGCTGTGGTCTTTTAGAAAGGCTCCAGAGGTGATCCTGGCAATTACAGGCCTAACCTCAGTACCAGGCAAATTGGTTGAAACTATAGTAAAGAACAGAATTGCCAGACACATAGATGAACATGACTTGTTGGGGAAGAGTCAACATGGCTTTTGTAAAGGGAAATCATGCCTCACCAATCTACTAGAATTCTTTGAGGGGGGGTCAAGAAGCATGTGGACAAAGGTGACCCAGTGCATACAGTGTGTATGACAGGGATCTGTAAAATCATGACGGCTGTGGAGAAAGTAAATAAGGAAGTGTTATTTACCCCGTCGCATAACACAAAAGCTAGTGTCACCTCATGGAATGAATAGGTAGCAGGTTTAAAACCAACAAAAGGAAGTATTTCTTCACACAATGCACAGTCAACCTGTGGAACTCTTTGCCAGAGGATGTTGTGAAGGCCAAGACTATAACAAGGTTCAAAAAAGAACTAGATAAGTTCATAGAGGATAGATCCATCAATGGCTATTAGCCAGGATGGGCAGGGATGGTGTCCCTAGCCTCTGTTTGCCAGAAGCTGGGAATGGGCGACAGGGGATGGATCACTTGATGATGACCTGTTCTGTTCATTCCCTCTGGGGCACTGGCACTGGCCACTGTCAGAAGACAGGATAATGGGCTAAATGGACCATTAGTCTGATCCAGTCTGGCCATTCTCATGTTCTTACCCCAGGCTCTGGAAGGAGTGTGATCTAGTGGGTTAGAGCAGGGGGGCTGGGAGCCAGGACTCCTGGGTTCTCTGCTGGCTCTGGGAGGGCAGTGAGGTCTAGTGGGTTAGAGCAGGAGTAAGGTCTTTGGGAGCCAGGACTCGTGGGTTCTTGCCTTGTCGTACCCTGTGGCAGTTGGCCCTCTGTGTAATCATGTGGGGGACAGGTTGTATCCCCCTCCCCTATCCCCATTCTCATTGCCTCTTCCCTCCACCCCTGCAGATGCTGCTCCTGCTGCTGAGCGTGGTGCTAATTCCAGCTCCTGGCTCTGGGGCGCTGGGACTCAACAGCACAACAGGTACATGGGACCCGCTCCCCCTCCAGCCTCGCATGCTGGGCCAGACCTACCAGGCTTCTCCGCTCACCCCACCCCCAAAAGCCCCATAATCTACGCCAGGACCCCCCGTGCCAGCGGTGCTCAGTCCCCAAGGAGCTCCCCCCAGACTCCCACGTATACCCCTGCATGTACCCCCATGAGCACGCAGACACGCTCAGCTCTGCACTCCTCTCCTCTGTGTACGCACGTGCACACGCTCACACACACTTGGGGATGCACACAGACACAAGCATGGGGAACCCGACAAAAGTACACACGCGCGAGGACGCCTCCCCCTGCACACACACTTGCTCTTCCCCCACCCACCCCGCTCCTGTCCCCCCAGCTCAGCCGGAGACCCCCCCACCTGACGGTGCCCCGCTCTGCGCCCCCCAGGCTGTGAGATCATCCACCCGCCGCGGGACGGGGGGATCCGGTACCGGGGCCTCACCCCGGACCAGGTGCAGACAGTGCACTTCCTGCCCTTCGACTATGAGATCGAGTATGTGTGCCGGCCCGACCGCGAGATCGTGGGGCCCAAGGTGCGCAAGTGTCTGCCCAACGGGACCTGGACTGAGATGGGCCATGCCAGCCGCTGCCGTGAGTCACCCCCGGCCTCCACGCCCACCCTCGGGGGCACCAGCTCCGATCTGACCCCAGGGCGGGGGGATTGGCTGGCTCAGAGGGGGTGGGGAATGGGGCATGGGGCCTTTCCCCTCCAGGGGGCACTGTGTCCAACCCAGGCCCATGGCGGGGAATGACTGGCTGGCTTGCGGGGGGGGGGGGGGCAGGGAATGGAGCATGGGGCCTTTCCCCTCTAGGGGGCGCTGGCTTCCATCCGGCCCCAGGCTGGGGGACTGGCTGCCTCAGGGGGGCAGGGAATGGGGCACAAGGCCTTTCCCCTCTAGGGGGCGCTGGCTCCCATCTGGCCTCAGGGTGGGGACTGCCTGGCTCAGGGGGTGGGGAATGGGGCCTGGGGTCTTTCTTCTCTAGGGGGCGCTGGCTCCAACCCAAGTTGGGCTCTGGCTCTGACTGTCCCCCTCCCCGGCAGTGCGGACTTGTCCCAAGATACACCTGAGCTTGGAGAATGGGCAGGCGGTGCCGCGCGGCATGGAGCGGGTGCCCGTTGAGGGCACCTGGGTGGAATATCACTGCAACCCCGGCTTCCGCCTGGTGGGTAGCGCCCGCAGCAATTGTACCAAGGTGGGGCGCTGGAGCTTCCCCAAACCTATCTGCGAACGTGAGTCAGGGCACAGGGGGAGGTGAGCAGAGGGGGCCCCTTAGGGGCATGTCTGGGGTGAGTGGGGCAGGGTCTGTGGCTGGGGAGGGGGCAAGGTCCATCTGTGTGGGTCTCTGGGGTGAGGAGTGTGTGGGGCAGGGTCTGTGGAGTGGGCCAGGGTCTGTGTGGTGGGGTCTCTGGGGTGAGGGGCGTGTGGGGCAGGGTCCGTGGGGTGGGCCAGGGTCTGTGTGTGGGTGTCTCTGGGGTGAGGGGTATGTAGGGCAGGGTCCATTTGGCAGCCCAGAGTCCATGTGTGGGGGGTTGTGAGGAGAGGAGTGTGTGGGGCAGGGTCCATATGTGGGAGTCTCTGGGGAAAGGGATGTGTGGGGCAGGGTCCGTGGGGTGGGGCAGGGTCTGTGTGTATGGGTCTGTGGGGAGAGGGGTGTGTGGGGCAGGCAGGCCCTCTCAGAGGTCCAGAGAGGCCCAGGCCACTTTCAGCTTTTGAGGCCCCCTAGCCATAATAAAAATAAAAAATGACGACACATGAAAACAAAATAAGGCACCAAAAAAAGAGTGAGACATAATTTAAATATTTTTTTATTTAACAAATGTTTTCTAGCCTTTTTCTGTGCAAATGCACTAATTGTTGAGGAAAAATCTAGCTTTCGTGCAATGTCACAGTTGATATTAAACATGGCGAGCCCATTCAAATACTCTTGTCCCCTAGTTGAATGGTGATAGTTCTTTACCTGCTTCAACATGTTGAAGGTGCATTCACCTGAAGCCACTGATGCAGGTAAACTGACAAAAATACGCAATGCAATTGTGATATTAGGAAACACCCCAGAACATCCAAAGAGGGGAGGGATAGCTCCATGGTTTGAGCATTGGCCTACTAAACCCAGGGTTATGAGTTTCATCTTTGAGGAGGCCATTTAGGGATCTAGGGCAAAAATCTGTCTGGGGATTGGTCCTGCTTTGAGCAGGGGGCTGGACTAGATGACCTCCTGAGGTCTCTTCCAACCCTGAGATTCTATGATTTCTTGAAGCAATTCCTTTGGCTTGCAAACCAATTTGAAGTTCATGGAATATATTTGTTTGAGGAAGATGACCTCATCACTAAGATCTTTTGAGATTTCTTTGTTGTACTGTTGCTGAAATTGTTCAGCTGCAGAAAGTAGATCTTCATTACTCAGTCTGTTGAACTGCCAAAGAAACCCAAAAAGGGTACAAATCAGTCACAATGACTCAAATCGACATGTAAGACCTGATTGAATAGAGTCAATGATGACAAGGAAGACATTGACCCTATAATGCTGCTCGGCATCAGATTCAGTAGGTAAATTGCAATTGGTGAACTCAGATGAATTGTCAATATTCTGTGCTACTAATCTGGATTCAGTCAGGATCACATCCCATTGTTCATGAATCTGTTTAATGTCATTGATAAGACTTTCAATGTTATCCTTCTCTACATCAAGTGTAGCATTGTGTGCTTCAATTACCAGATGAGTTTGGTGGATCATTGTAAGTAGCTTCATCCACAAAGATGACATCAGAATGCATTCAAATTTGGACATGTGCTTCCGAATAGACTGAAGTTCAGTTCGAGCCTGTGCAGTGAGATTGAGAGATTCAAGCTCATTTAAAGCCTTTCTCACTGAATTCAAATGCTGCGCAACCGGTTGAACACCATCAATCCATGCAGACCATCTAGTTTTGGACATCCCATGCAGTGAAACAGGAAGATATTGCTTCAGCATTTGCCACCTTTGTGGACTGCTACTGAAGAGATTGTACATTTGCTGAACAGTTCCAAAGTAAGTGATTGCCTCCTTGTATGATTCAGCACAGTCAACACTTACAAGGTTTAGCGTGTGGTTTCCACAGCTGGAGAAAATACAGTCTGAATTATGCTCAAGCAGAACTACTTGTACACCTTTGTACTTCCCAGCCATATTAGATCCATTGTCATAGGCTTCACCAATGCAGACTTGAAAATCTAACTTAAAACCTTCTAGAATTGCTAGTACTCAAGCAGCAATTTCTTTTTCAGTTTTTCTCATGAAATTATCAAACAAAATAAACCTTTCTTCAATTGAAAATTTTCAGCTGTCTACAATCTTAACATACCGAATAACTATAGTAGTCTGTTCCTTGTGAGAACAATCTGGAGTGACATCAACAATGATTGAAAATACTTGGCATTTTGAATCTCATCAAGAATTGTTGTTTGTACAAATGACCCACATAGCTCAATAAACGTATTTTGTGTGCGTGTGGAGAGATAATGGACTTGCACGCGCTTTTCACTCTCTTGCAATTCTCAAACACGTTTAACATCATTAATGATCTGGAGGATGGCGTGGACTGCACTCTCAGCAAGTTTGCAGATGACACTAAACTGGGAGGAGTGGTAGATACGCTGGAGGGTAGGGATAGGATACAGAGGGACCTAGACAAATTAGAGGATTGGGCCAAAAGAAACCTGATGAGGTTCAACAAGGACAAGTGCAGAGTCCTGCACTTAGGACGGAAGAATCCCGTGCACTGTTACAGACTGGGGACCGAATGGCTAGGCAGCAGTTCTGCAGAAAAGGACCTAGGGGTTACAGTGGACGAGAAGCTGTATATGAGTCAACAGTGTACCCTTGTTGCCAAGAAGGCTAATGGCATTTTGGGCAGTATAAATAGGGGCATTGCCAGTAGATCGAGGGACGTGATCGTTCCCCTCTATTTGGCATTGGTGAGGCCTCATCTTGAGGCCAACTGTGTCCAGTTTTGGGCCCCACACTACAAGAAGGATGTGGAAAAATGGGAAAGAGTCCAGCGGAGGGCAAAAAAATGATTAGGGGGCTGGAGCACATGACTTATAAGGAGAGGCTGAGGGAACTGGGATTATTTAGTCTGCAGAAGAGACGAATGAGTGGGGATTTGATAGCTGCTTTCAACTACCTGAAAGGGGGTTCCAAAGAGGATGGATCTAGACTGTTCTCAGTGATAGCAGATGAGAGAACAAGGAGTAATGGTCTCAAGTTGCAGTGGGGGAGGTTTAGGTTGGATATTAGGAAAAACTTTTTCACTAGGAGGGTGGTGAAGCACTGGAATCGGTTACTTAGGGAGGTGGTGGAATCTCCTTCCTTAGAGGTTTTCAAGGTCAGGCTTGACAAAGCCCTGGCTGGGATGATTTAGTTGGGAATTGGTCCTGCTTTGAGCAGGGGGTTGGACTAGATGACCTCCTGAGGTCCCTTCCAATCCTGATATTCTATGATTCTAACATGCTCTGATAAAAGTGGGTTATATTTGCTGCGGAGCTCAACTATGCCTAGAAAGTTTCCATTTGCACGATCACCAATACGTTGACTGGAACCAAAGAAAGCCAATACCCGCTCAGAAAGAAAAAGGATGATATTCAGGATGTGCTCAAGAAGTTTTTTCCAGTTATTAGTTTCTGTAGGGAGTTCAATCAAGAGTAAATTTTCAACTGAACTTTCAGCTGATGCTGCCCTACTGGCTGATTTCCATGCAACATAGTTTTCTTTGTGTGACATTGAACTCTCATGTGATGGTATTCGGTCTTTCAACTTCCTCCAACCTCTGTTGATGCTCCATTCTGATTGATTAGAGAGAACTGATGTATTTGTAGCTTTTTTGTTCAAAATGAACCAGGGTGCACAGTACAGAGATTGTTTTTCCGTACTCCAGCATAACCAGTCTCTTGTGCAGGTCTCACCTTTGGAAGAGTTTTTGAGTGTCAGCAGATGAGTAGGGAAAGCAAGATTATCAGCATCTCGTGGAATGTTACTTGGAATTTCAAAACAACTAATTTGAAGAAAAGACTGCATTTGGGCAGCATTGCTCTTGTCAATAATTCCAATGTCAGTCACGGTCAAACCTGTAGTAATCATGAATTGCTCTTGCTGCGTAAGATCTACATCTTCCTGTTGCGGTTGAGTTTCTTGATCGTACACAGGATCTTCTGCTGTATCTGTTACTGTTGGCACATCTCCTTCTTGACTACTGTCCTCATGTTCAGGTATTGGCATTGAAATATCACCTGTTGCAGTTGCGGAGTTTTCATTATCTGTAGCATTGTTTGTTGGGTAAGGTGTGTTTTCCAGTGGTTTGAGAAATGAAGTTATTGGCTTTGAGCTCTTAGCTGCTGCTTCACTCAGTTGTTTTCTCCGTCTCTTGCTTGCACCATTTTCAAATGTCCTTTTCATAGTGATCTATCTGGTCAATATGTAGCCTATCCACACTTGAAATATTCTGCTGTAAATAAGTAGCTTATCTACACTTGAAATCTTCCACTGTAAACATGTACACAAATGCTGAAAAGACTTAAAACGAAGGAATACTAATGAAGAACACAAAAGAAACAGTCAGACAAGTTATTATCCTTATCACTGAATCAAAACTCAAGCACGCAAGGTATAATATAACAGGCTGAGCTGAAGACAAAGGGATGACATATATATAATAAACACAGACACAGATACAGATAGAGGGATAATGTCCAAAAATTTCAAACATGTGCCCTCACCAAACTCACTTTACAAATTTGTCCTCAAAAATGTTCACTTTGAATCTGGACCTATAGACTATGAAAGCCAATGATGATGGCCAAGCTACCGAGCTAGGGCTCAACCAACCAACCAGTCACCTCTTTTAGCTACCATATGAAGATAATAATGAGGAATTCTCACACATAAATAATTCCTTAGTCTACTAGACATAAAACTATAAAGACACTAAAATGTAACAATTCTCTACCTTTCAATACGCACTTGATCCAGCACCAGCCACTAGTAGTGGTTTGTTTATATAATCAGCTGATCTGAGAGGACACATTCATCACGGTCTAATCTTGTGCCATTAGAACCGATATATTTTTATTAACATTTATTGAACATTTTTAACTCTTTAATATGACGAAATCTATATCAGTTAACAAAAAAATTGTCTTTTACCAAATCACATCTCTTATTTGCTTAAATTTGCAGCTCTAA